TAGCTCAGTGTTTGAGCTCAATACCCAATAACCCCTCCCCATAAAGTTAATACAAATCACATTCAACCTGCTAGAAAATGAATCAGATCACAAAGAAGAGATGCATATTTTTAACTCAGTATGATTCATAGAAACAATGCTCAACCCATCTGCTTTCTGTTATGTGTTTATTTCAAACAAAATCAAAGTGTTTTCAACATATCATTCTTGACTATTGAGGATAACCAAATTAAAATAGTTTTATGAAGGCTTTAATGTAATATTTTGAGTCGATATTTTCAGTTTTCTTTAAAATTTTTAAAATTTACATTTAATAACTATACATATTTATGGGGTACAATGTGATAATTCAATGTGTAATGCTCAAATCAGGAAAGTTAACATTTCCTTCTTATTAAACATTTAGTCTTTCTTTGTTCTAGAACCTTCAAACTCCTCTCTGCTAGTTCTTTAGAAAAATACATTAGTTGTAAATTATAGTGACCTTATAATACTATAGAACACTAGAACTTATTCCTTCTATCTAAGTGTATTTTTGTACCTTCCTTTCTTCCCATGTTACTTTCCTTACCTAGACTCTAGTAACCACTAATCTGATATCTACTTGTATGAAATCAACTTTTTAAAATTCCACATATGATTGAGAAGCATTTTTTATGCAGCAGTTTTTTTTTTCTGTGCTGGCTTATTTCAGAAAGTAAAAAAATTCAGATATAATATTTTTAAAACTCATCATGAACATTTATTTCACCATGAGATTTTCCTTTCTGATTATTTTTTTGTTAATCACAACTAGATACACTAAAGGAGAGGTATTCTGGTTGCAAGAATATTGTACAATAGAAACCAGACTCACTATCATGTGGCTAAGGAATAACATGAATAGGAATACTGTTTTCTTTACTTGTTATCAAGTCATCTCCAGAAATTGAGCCCAATATTTGCTAAGAGATGAAACTACATTCAAGTGATCCATTTTTTAAAAATTGAGAAACATTCCCCCCCTAAGGTGAGAAAGACCGATCCATGCATTATATCCTACTGAACTTGCAGATCTCAGTAGTCTACATCTGTCAAGTACAGAGAAATTAAAGACAGGAATCCTTCAAGAAGGAAAAAGAGGAAAGAATAGAATAAGTGAAGACTATAAAGATTGAACCATGATCCTAAACCCTATTAGAACCCCTCACTTACTTGAGACTGTAATCCCAAGTCAGCTCTGTGTTGTTCCTCCAGAAAGAAGTCCAGTTTAGTTGCCTGAATATCTTGACAGTGTTTCAGCAGTTTTTCTACAGTTAAGGTAGAGACCAGGTAAACAAACTACCCAAGCCCTTTCTCCTGCCTCAAACTGTGGGCCTGTTTCTGCTAGCCTGATAGTTCCTTTCTACTGGAAATTTCACAGGGATGATTGTTACATCAACCTGTGGGTGGAATACTTAGCTCAGGGGTTGCACCTGGATTTGCTCAGGTATCAACATGACTTGCCTCAAGCTGGGATAAGTAAAACAAAATCTGATTTATACATGTCATATGATTGGTGCTGAATAAAAGAGCTATCATAATTGATTTTGAATGCTATACCAGAACATAGAGACAAATGAAATGGAACTGTGAAAGCACAAATAAGAGGCCTGAAATTCAGATAAGGCACTCAAAGAAGGCTTCAGAGAGCTGACAATGGCTGAGAACAGCCTTGCAGCAAAGTAAATGGTAAACCCAGTTGAGCACAACAGTAGAGTTAGTTTTTTAGGCTGAGGAAGCACCTTAACTTTGTAGTCATAAGAGAAGATAGTGATGCAAAAGACTTTAGGTAGTTAAGTGTGGCTGAAGTGGGAGAGACGATGGGAGGGAGTAAAGAGAGGTGAACTGCAGAGAGGGAAACAAAGGTAAAATTAAGAAGAATGCAAATTTAAGAAATATGTAT